ATATGGGCGCACACACCTCCAAAATGTATGTTTCAGAAACAGCAAGAGAGAAAAAAAGACAGCAACAGCAACAGAAACAGAAACCGAAACGTAGGAATACATCCAGAAAACATTCCGCTGTTTCAGGACAGAAACAAAGGCAGAGTTTTGAAAGGAAACAATGCCAAGTCCTTTGGCTCCGTTTAGTGGATGATAAATTGCTGCATGGCTTGGGCTTGGGATCTGTATCTAGCAATTGTTATGATTTGTTTATGCCTCTTCTCTTTTCTCTTTCTCGTTTTTATGGTAGCAGCTGTACGCCCGCTCTTGCGGTACAGTTTGCCTCCCTTTCTCCCTCTCTCGATGAACAATTCAATCAGTTGATCAGACGTGTTTTACGTGCATACATATATTGATGGCTGTACTCGTATTCCCCTTGTTGTGTCTTTTTCACACCTAACAGTAACTTATCGGCCCAGGCGACATCGATCTGTGAGGAAGTCCCGCATTTCACGCATTTGACACAAACCAAAAATTAATGCAATCTGTTGTGAGATTCAACACGATTCCAGTTAGTAACGCTGATTAGGATCAACGCACACGCACATGAACACATGGACACCCATTGCATTGCATTGGCCCATTGCTGGAGGCACATTAATGTGTCAACATGTGCGAGGGGCAATGCATTGCCCAGCCATATCGTACACACACCACACACAATGGCTAGTCCTGGGGCATTGATGGGTAGTTCCTGGTAGCCAGAAAACAGAAAAACGGTAGGAAACAGCAGCTCGATCTCCATCGATAAGAATCTGGGAGAACACACACCACACACTGCTGCTGTGATTGGATTCATGCGAATGTCGCCTCCCAGGGAGCGAATGAACCACAACAATGTACGCATAATGAGCAGAAGCAGCAGAAGCAGCAGCATCAGCAGCAGATAAAACTGTAGCCATGTACTGGGATACTCGTATCCTGGTATAGAGATATCAAGTGAAATATATGGGTGTACCGGTGGCAGCCATTCCCATAAACTTCCTACTTCAAATGCCTTCATTTAATGGCTTTTTGCATGCTACATAAATCTTTTGATGAAGAAAATTTCAGTTTTATTGCTTTATATATGCAAAATAGGCAAACTCGTACGATTTTCTTACTTCGGCAGTGGCAGTGACCTTCAACCCCGCTCTCTGGCCCATCTCTAGAGGCCGCTCTTAACTGCCTGCGGTTGACCGCATTACTCCAGAAGAAAAGGCAGTTCTCGAAAGGGTTCGTTCTCTGGTATAACTTGATTGAGCAGAGAAGCAGAGAGGGAAACTGGAACGGAAGTTCCGTTTTTGTTTTTCTCGAGCTGTATGTACATTATTCTTGATTAAGTCACATTAATTATGATAATGATGTCCCCTCCCAAAGCGAAAGGCAGACAGAACAGTCCCTCCACTGCGAAGACAATGGCAATTGAAATGGGAACAGGATATTGTTGTCCTAGGCAGCGGAATAAAGGCATCGGCCGGGCGAAAGGAAGTCGGAACGTGCGCGCAAATAAAAAAACAAAACGACAAAAAAAGGTAAAGGCAAAAGTGTGATAAATGTCAGTTTCCTGCTCAGGATATTCGGACACGCTGATGACTTCATCAGCAGCTAGATTCCGCGTCCCCGTCCCCGTCTATTGGGGGAAGCTATCATCTGGCGACTCTCAGTCGTAATCCTTTTATGGAATTAATCAAGTGTGGCCCATGACACAGAAAAAAACAGAGAAGAGAAAGAGAGAAATGTTCCAGCTGCTGGGCAGATGGGAAGACAGAGGAATGTCTAGAGTTTTTTACTCGAAAGATTCTCTCTGATTCAGAAATTATATAAATTTTTTAATTTTAATCAAGGAGTCTGGAAAATATTTAGTGATAAGCTAAGAGAATATATTTTACTGCTAAGCCACTCCGAGTAAGGGAATATTTACAGCTAGGCCACTCTGAGTAAGAGGGAGAGCGATAAAAAAAAAGAGATAGAGAAATGTAGTTGAAAATTTAAAGGAAATTTGAAGGGAACTTCCTCAATTATTCCGCTCACATTTCGGACGCGAGAGACATTCATAAATTATCCATAAACCTCAAAGAAATATCCATAGGAATTGGAATAGGAATATGTAGTACTTAAATTTATGGCCATTGATTCAGTGCATGGAAAAATCAAAAAACATTTTTATGGTTTATGCTTTGTGGCCTATGTGATTTCCGTTTTGGGGCAACTACTTTTCAGTCCATCAAAAACCAACGATTTAACTCTGGTAGAGTATCAGTATTTGCTGTCTGCATATTAAAACAAAAGGGGAAAAGAAAAACAGTTGCAGTCTGCAGCTGCCTTTTGGCTTTCAAATGATCCTCAAGTGACCGCAGAAATGACAAATGAAAGACGGACTACTGCCAAAAGGAACAAAAAAGGAGAAGAGAAAAAACCATCTTGAGTAGCAGCAAAACTGTCAAAGCAAACTGTCAGTCTGTTTTGTTTTGTTTTGTTTTGGCAGAGACTAACAATTAGAAAACAGTTGCAAAATGTTGATCTTCTTTCAGGGGAAACACTCTGCAGTACTGTTCCCTTTGCCGTTCATTAATCATCCTTAAAAGTATTCCAAATTAACGGTTCGATTTGAATTTTTACTTGAAATCAGTTTGTGCCATCGATTGTCATTAATTACGAGTGTTTTTGCTCTCTCCCTCTCGGCACTCAAGAGGCACTCTTCGCCGTCTCCCCATTAACGGGTTAGCTATACAAACATATAACCGATCTTACGGTTTCCATTTCTAATGAAATGTCATTAATCAGTTGTCCAGATGTCACTTTTTGGCATACGTTCAAGGTGACAGCAGCAGCAGCAGTAGCAGCAGCCCTACCAAACAATCGCCGCCTTCGGGGGCTGGAAAAACTCACTCACGTGACATTGGAAATGGCATTTAGCAGTGCCCCTGCCGCTGCTACTATGTACCAGAGACCATGCCACCAATTCGAATTCAAAGGCAAACAAAACACATCCCATTCCCCCATGCAACATGCAATTATTTGTTGAGTTTTTATTTTGTTTGGTTCGAAACTAGAACACGAATGAGAACTTTTTGAAGGCCATTTGGGTGCTGCTGGTGCAGGCTTTGTTTGCCCTTAGAGTGATTTTTTTTTTTTACCCAGAACGAAGTTTAAATACTCTTGCGATTAACAGAGAGATAAAGAGTTGATGGGAGGTTTAGATGGAATATTGTCCACATATATACTTACACCTAAGCCTCGCTGTTACCATTTATATTCTGCAAAATTAACAGAAAAGATAGAATAGATAAATAAAATGAAAGATAAAATCACAAATCAATACTAAAATAATTATTACACGAATGTTTACATAAATATAAATTATTTATAGATGGAAATTGGAACATAGATACAAGAAAAGATTAAACAAGTAAAACTATTCATCATAGCTAATACATACACAGACATATATACATATCTGTGACAATAAGGCTTGGCTTAGCTGGAATCAAAGATCTATGGATGCATAGACAGGGATTCATTCGATCCGTGAGCTCAGAGCAGATCGAATTTTCTCATACAAAAAGCTAAACATTGTATATTGTGGCACGGAAGGTATTTCCAGTTACATTTTTGTAATTAATAAAAATAAAAGTCAATTAATAAATAAAATTAATGTAAAATTAACAAAATAAATCATAAATAAAACACTCCTACCCCCCCAGAATAATCATAGATGAAGGAAGGTAGCCTCTCTCTCTCTTCAGTAATGTTGTAAACTCTTCAAGCAATCCCCCATCTCCACCCACTTGGCAAGTGTATAAAACTAACAAGAACCGAACCTAAGGTCAAATTTAAATCCAAAAGGCATTGAACTTGTTGTTGGCGGAGAGCTCGAGAGCTCTCCTTGGCTTCGTTTTTTCGTTGATTTTTGGATTTTGGTAGCTAGAGAACTTGCATAAGAACCATGCAATTAATTCCTCAAATGATGGGGCGGAGAGGGGGAGCTCTGTGGCTGCTGCCATTGTTGTCCACAGAACAGAACAGACAGCAACAGAAACAGAAAACAGAAAACAGAGAACAGATATTGTATCTCATAGATTACACAACGCAATACACTGCAGAAAATGCGTTAATTAACAGAAATCTACTCGTATAGGCAGCGCCCACATGGAACAAAACAGCACGCCCCCTCTGGCACGAGTGTGGGGAAAAGGGCAATACAGAGAGGGGTAGGTGCAGGGGTGGGCTTATGTTTCTTGGTTATTTATGATTTTTCGCATAAATTTACGCGAACGATCGTAAAAATGCGTGAAATACGACATTTTGAGTTGTGTGAAAGTGTAACACCGAACCGAACCGAACCGAACCGCACAAAGACCCCAAAAGAGATCTGTGTGGATCTGTTGGCAGGAGACCAAAGCTCAGATCAGCAGCAGCATCAGCAGCAGCAGCAGCAGCTTTAACCGTGAACAATGTGTGTGCAACAGTTTTGCATGATTTGTTGCTCTCAGAGCGAAGGACAGGGCTTTCAACAATCAGGCAACAATGTTGCTAATACGCATAGACTTGCAAGAGAGTTCAAGGAATAGTCAGTGCCAGGATGTGGCGATTTCTAGGCAGCAAAAACAACACACACAAAAAATAAGAAGAATAAAAATAAATAAGAGATTCATTTGGGTTTTTTGTAGAGAAGTAAATTGAATGAAAATTATCTGGAATATAGATCCAAGTACGGCATACCCCAAACACTTTCCATTGGAGGGGCCTTCTGTTTTCCCAGCATAATATTCCCATAGTTCAAACATTTCTCTTTCTAGGTGCAGGCAATACAAATTTATACGATATATTTTATGTTTTTGTTATCTGTTTCAGGGGGTTTACAGTCTGGGGCTTACATTTTGGTGTCTATCGAGCGACTACGCATAGTAGTAAAATAGTAGTAGTCTCCCTTAGCAGTTCCTGGCAGGAATACCCTCATATACTGGATGGTTATTCCTTCAATCATCTGCCATGTCCCCCACAATGGTGGCAGGGTGTGGGAGTGGGTGCGGGAGTGGGAGTGCTGCTGGAGCTGCCACCGCCGCTGCACTAAATGGCAGCCCATTGTGTGTGGCCGATGCCCAGCTGCGACGCGGCAGTATCCGCCCAAAATTGAAATACTTTTGCCTCAGCTTATCCTTGATCTCATCCTCGTTCATTATGGCACTGGCCTCGCGAAAATTCAGGAAAATGCGACCCTTTTCATCCGTTTTGATCGGCAGTATCTCCGTGCAGACATTGCGGGCCTTCAGCAGGAAACCCTCCACGTCCTCCCCATCCTCCTGCTCCTGCTCCTGCGCCATTGTGGCTGAAGCATCCAGGAGCTGATCGACGGCCACCGAGTCCAGGCGCGAGTCCATGGAGAGGGAGCGCGGCGGCTTGCTGGCCCCTTGGGCTGTTGCAGGATGATTCTTCTTTTTGCGCAGACAAAAGGGATCCCGATCGCTGGCTTTCACGTACTGAACGATGGGACGATTGACCCCCCATTTGGGGCGATCGTCCATCTTGTCCTTGTCCTTGTCCTTGCTGTTGTGGTTCTTCTTGAGGCACTTGTCCTTGTCCTTGCTCTTGGCCTTGAAGGTGGTCGTAGTTGTGGTCGTTGTTGTCGTCGTTGTCTCGTGATCCTTTTCTGCCTCTGCTGCCGCCGCCGACGATTCCTTGGGGGACTGCGTCTGCGTCTTGGATGTCTGCGTGGTGGTTGTGGTGGATACCTCGCGCTTGAGCAGCACCTTGTAGAAGTTGTCGTGGAACAGGCACAGATCGCAGTTCAATGGCAGCTCCGTTTGGGTCTCCACATCGCTGTTCAGTCTGCCATCTGCCGCTGCAGATCCTGCTCCTGCTCCTGCCTGTCGCTGGGGCAGTGGAATGAGCGCCAACTTGTCGCTGGGCGCCACATCCACCTCCAGGGAGTCGGGGGAGAAGCAACCGCCGCTGGCGCCAGTGATCAGGCCCGAACGAGCTGTCGTCAGGGTCTCCTCCTCTTCGGGATCCTCTTCCGCCTGGTAGCCATCCTCCGTGTAGATGGACGTGTCCGTCCTTTGGGTCATTGTGGCCTTCGAGTAGGTCTGCTCCACAACCGCGGAGGAGGCTGCCGAAGGGGGCATCTGCATGTGCATCTGCTGCAGCTGCTGGGGGGGCTGCATCAAGTACGTGGCTATCTGCAGATTCCCAATGGCACTCTGCAGCCCAAAAATATCGCTAGTCACGGGCAGCGGGATCAGTGTGGCCGGCTGCATCAGCAGTGCCAGGTTATCCTTTTCCGGCTCCTCTCCGGCGGGTTTTTTGATGGGTTTCGTGATGGTTCGTCGCAGATTGATCGGCGTTCCAATCAGCACTTTCTCCTCGGCAATGACAGGAGGCGGTGGAGCTGCTGCTTGTGGGGCAGCCGCTTGTGGGGCTGCTGCTGCCACTGGCGGTGCCCCGCGTGGAGTATGGGATGTCTCCTCCTCCTCTTCCTCCTCCTCTACAGACTGAACGCGCAGCAGTTCGCCCCTGTCCTGGCCTTCCTTGGGCTCCCTTTGCTGTGGCTTCTTGCGCTTCTGTTGCTTCTCCATTTGGGCCGCCACCTCTGCCTTGGCTATGGCATCCAGCATCGCCTGCTGCTTCTTCTGCTGCGCCTCCTCCCGCTCCAGCAACTGGCGCCGCTCGTACGCGACACGCTCCTGATCCATTTGCTTCTGGCGCCTCAGACGCTCCTCTTCGAGCTGCTCCTCCTGGCGATGGCGCTCCTGTTCCCATTTCCTGATCATCTCCCGCTCGTGCAGCTGCTTCTTGATGGCATTGTGGTACTCCGATGCCTTCCGTCGCTTGTCCATGCGCTCGGCCAGCGTGTGGGCATCCAGTGGGGCATTCTGGCCCCTCAAATACGTCGAGGATGACTGCATCGACTGCACATCATCCTCGCTGCCATCCTTCAGATCGTGCATGCCACGATTCAGCCAGCCAGGCGGCGGTGGCATCTGCTGCTGCTGTTGCTGCTGATTGGCCCACCGGGCACGCTCTCGCTCTCTCTCGTGCTGTTCGTGCTGCTCGTGTATGTAGTAGTCGCTGCCTGCGACTCCTCCTCCGCCTCCGCCCTGCACCTGCACCTGGTACGTGTTGGAGGTGGACACATCCCGACTGATGCTCATGTTGGAGGAGCTGGGCGGCTCAGCCATGTAGCAGCAGCTGCAAAGCATCGAAAATCAAACTTCGCCCAAGGATTCTCTCCATAGAGTGTTTAGTACTCACCCATCGGCCAGGTAGCCATCGTTTGCCAGCGGTTCGTATCCCTGTTCCTGTCCCTGTGCCTGTTCCTGTCCCTGTCCTGCCACACGTCGTCGTTCCTTGATGACATATGCATTTCCCTTGCCCCCACCAAGTGGCACTGCTGCTGCCGCTCCTCCTCCGCCCTGTATCGATCGAAGTAGACGTCGACCCACACCCACAGCCACACCCATTCCCAATGGAAGGGTTTCGCGCTCCTCCACGACACTGGCGCTGCCCATGCCACTAATGCTCTCAATCTGGCTGGCTCCATCGTTGAACCAAATGTCGGGCGTGTGTGTGTTGTTGTTGTTGTTGCTGCTGTTGTTGTTGTTCTTGGGGGGCGTGTTGTCGCTCAGATACCCAGAGGTGTCCTCTTCCTGGCAACCAATGCCTGCTGGAGCAGCAGCAGCTCCAGGCGGCGGAGGATTGTTGTTGTTTGATCGATGTGCATGTCCTGGCTGGTTGCCAGGATCAATGTCGTTTGGCTTGCCATTCGGCATGTTATTGTTGCCAGGTTGATTGGCCGCCTTTTCCTGATGCCTCACCCTCTGCCTGCGAATGGATGGCAAACTGGGACTCCTCAGACGTTGTTGCTGCAAATAGACCCCCTGCTGCAAGTTCTGTTGCTGCTGTGGCAAGTGATACGCCTGCCCCTGCCCTTGCTGCTGGGACTGCTGCCCCTGTTGGGAGTGCTGCATCCTTCCCTTGGCCGTCTGCAGCGATGTGGGTGGCATCATCATCTCCACATAGCGTGCCGGTCCCATTTGCATCTGTCGCGTGTTGCTGCTGGTCATGCCCGGCGCGTAGCTGCCCCGCCGCACAGTGCGCCTGTACAGTGACTCCTCATCGTCCTCAAAGTCTGCCTCGGCATCCACATCCAGATCCTCGATATAGCGCTCCAATTGATTCAGATATCCGCCAACATGGCGATAGTCTTGGGCGACTGCTGGTGCCTGTCGCAGGATCAATTGCATATCCTGCTGCTGCTGCTGCTGCTGGTGTTGCTGTGGCGGTGGCGGCAGGCGTCGCCTCGACTGACTGGACGTCTGATTCGATGTCGATGTCTGGCTGAGATCCAAATTCGAGTAGTAGGTGCGTATCGAAGTGCGTTCGATCTTGTGGTGCGATGTGTGCTGCTGCTGCTGCTGATGATGATGATGATGGTAGATCTCGTCCATGCGTGCGATTTCCTCTACAAAAGATACTTATAGTACTTGTTAATGCACCGCAGTCAGTGCCTGTCCCTTTACCTCTCTCCTTGGCCCATTGCTGCTTCTTCAGGTCCAACAACCTATGCGTTTGCCTCGATTCCGGACCCGTAATCATGGCTCCTCTTGCCCTCGCCAGCCCCGCGCTTCAGACAGTCCACAAACGTTGGGGTTTTCGGTCGGGTTCAATGCATGCTTCAGAGGTCAGCATTCAGTTTGGGCTCCAACCACTCCAAGGCTACGGCTCGACACTCACTGAAATTCCTTTGGGCCACTGCCAGTTCATTTTTTGGGTTTGTTTTGCATTGGAATGCCGCTCGGCTCGGCACGGCCCGTTGTCCTGGCAACCCCTGTGCTAGCCCCGCAAACAAAGTCCTTGCACTCCTTGCCACTCTCTGTCTCGGTCTCTGTCAGTGGGTTACCACTGCAGTTGGGTGGCAACCCATCGCGTGTTCCTTGTCTATTCTCAAAGTAAATTAAAAGAACATCCAAATAAAACAAGGAACAAGGCAGAAGTCTCCTTGTTTGGGGGTGCGGTACATCAACCCGTTTATCGATTTGTAGCCACACGCATGCCTCCAATTACCGCCCCATCAAAGAGTCAGAGAGAGTGGAGAGTGTGAGAGAGAGAGAGCGGGATGGGATGTGTATGTGTGTGTGTGTGCAACAAGTTTAACCTCTTGGGCATTGCGTAGGTGCTAAAATGTGGCACTTGGGACGTCCTTCATTCATTCCTTCCATTCGTTGCAGGCTTTCTGCTTCACAGAAATTTATTTCCCATGGTCAAGAAATGGCCAACAGAGCGAACCTACCTCATGGCTCTCATAACCCATTTTCCAGCCACAAAACACACACAGAAAAGCAGGGCCCAAGCTCTGCTCTGGTCTGGTCGGCTCTGGCTGCTGCCTGAACTCTTCTGTGTTCGGCGGTCGGCTGAATGTTTTTATACGCGTGGGCGTTGAAATCACTGCCAGTCAAAAGGTCATGTTATGATCTTGAGCGAACTATGTGTCCAAGTTGGGGGAGATACAGATAGAGATGGCGAGGCAGAGGCAGGGGCAGAGGCAGCAGAGAGAGCATGGGAGACCCAAGACCCCAGAGCTCCAGTCACACAAGAAAAAAGGAGCAGCAGAGCTCTGGCTCTGGCTCTGGCTCTGACTCTGTCTCTGGCCCCACATGGCAATCAAAATAGAAATCCCACTTGATATCCAAAAGTGCATTTATAAGACATTATAATGAGTTTTTATAAAACATAAAACAGGGTCGCTCGGTCGCTCGGTCGGTTGGTCGGTCGCCTTCTGCTGCAGCCTTAGGGCGTCACTTAACTAGACTTCTGCCTGTCCCTGTCCCTGCCCCTGCCCCTGCCCCTGCCACACTCTTTGCTATAACCTTCGCTCCAGTTGAAGCGAAGAGCTGGCGGTGGCATGGGATCAAGTTCATAATTGCTTATGCAGCTAGGTCAAGAGTTGGACCCACATCTAACCGAAAAATTCGACGAGAGGACACATGTCACCACCACTGAAGCATGCAGCAGTCAACGAGGCCTGGATGAGATCCCACAGATCGAAGTTGAACGATTTCCCCCCCCCCAAAAGAAAGTGATCATAGGAGATGAGATGATCCTATGTGCAATGACCATTTAGGCAGCAATTTTCATTCATCTTCTGAAAAGATTTTCACTTGTCCGCAATCAATTGAACGATCACCGATCCACTGGCTGGCAGACAGGCAGACTGACGGTCTGGCTGGCTTTGGCTGTGGCTGTGGCTCTGGCTCTGGCTGTTGCTGTGGCTGTTTGGATCGCTCTATTCAAACGATCGATGTATCATTTAGTGTACGGATAACCTCAATACACCACCTACCAATAAACAAACAAGCCAAAATGCCTAATAATTGTAATTTTCCATATTTTTGTCGACTATACGATCCGATCCGATCCGATCCGATGCGATGCGATGCGAGATGATGAACCCAAACACGATCGTAGCCCAAAGCCAAAAGGAGTCAGTCGTTTAAATGGCAGACGAACAGCAACAGAGAGGCAGGGACGGAGTGGTTGGAGAGGGCTATAGAGCGGGGCATGGCAAAGATATAGCCCATACATATTGATCAAAATTGATGATGTTGACACGAACTTTGAACGACTCTCTGAATGGATGATCGTTGGGCTCGCTCTGATCTCTCAAGGGTTTTTGGTTGTGATTTTGGTTTTTGTTTTTTGTGTTCAGAGCGATTTTCGTCGTGAAGTATCGCTTCAAGTGAGAGTATCGCTGCAAAACCCCTCCAATTGGTACCAAGAGATCCATAAAGATCGTAGCTAATTTTCAAGCCAACAGTTTGAAGAATTTAATTGTCATGGCGGTGTGGGGCTGGGGTGGTTTGCCTCTCGAAGATCTTCCACGTACCATAGAATTTATTGAGAATTATTTATTTGTTGTGCACTTTCGATTCCGTAAGCCCAGAGACATGGCCGGCATCGTCGTCGTCCGTCGTTGTTGTTGTTGTTGTTGTTGTTGTTGTCATTGTGCCCAAAAATGGTCACTCAAACAAGACACCAAAACGCAGAGACTGAAACAGAGACAGAGACTAGCGCCAACGAACAAACTGTCAGGTGTTTGGATGTGCCACAAAAGCCATCTCCCTGCCGACCGTTGGCTCCCTCTACGACTGTTGGTTGCTTGCTTGCATGTGTGGAGGAGCCACGCGAGTCGTCGCTTGGGGCCTTGGTGGTGTGGTTTGTGGTGTGTGTGGGGTATGATAACTTTGTGATTACTTTTGTAATGGCAGAGAGCGAGTGCGAGAGAGAGAGAATGAATGTTCTACGATAAAAGCCCATTGCAATAAACAAATGAGAAAGTTTTGCAAATGTGGGAACTCAATTAGCGCGCGATTCAACGCAGAAAATATCATAAAGGTGTATATATATTTTACAGGATTCTTATACATATGTAGATACGATGTAAAATATGATTAAAATTGGTTGAAAGGAAGGATGAGCCACTCTCAAATAACAGATTTCTGCTACTTGCTGGGCATTTCTTTTCATTTCTCTCTGATTTTAATAGGAAAATGTAAGTTGAAAGCGCCTTGTAGGTACCCTTAGCATTCCTACAATATCTGACGAGATTTGACCCACAGGGTAAGGGTATTCGCCACCCTCGGGTAACCAATTCTGCCACAAAGTCTCACTTGTGTGCATTCGCTGCTTGTAATTGTTGCCACTCGTCCGCTGGTGCGGCTGTTGCGCATTTAAGTGTTTTGTTGCATTTGTTGCTGTTGTTCGTTTGATGCTGTTGTCCTCGAAAGCTGACAACATGTTACACTTTGGTCACTATAATGAGCCGTAATTAGTGACCAGACACCGATCCACCGATCGACTCCAGCATTTGAGCAATGCAATACGTCCAGACGGACGGACAGTCCGACAATCCGACAATCGGACAATCGTCTGCGTGTGAAAAGTTGCGCGCTTTTTGGATAATTGCAACAAAACTGCGGAGACTACGGGGACTGCGCCGCGCGCGTCTCTTTGATGCCACGAGACTGGCGAAGACTGCGGATGCAGTTGAAGGGGGGAAAGGGGGGCCCCATGTGTCAACGTCATCGTTGGCGGCGGTAATTGTCAGACTAAATGAAAGGAAAACTGATTACATTTGACAAGTTCAACATTATATGTCTGTCTGTCTGTTCGTGTGGCATAGGGACAGGGACAGACGCGACATTAAAGACCGAGAGTGAAAGCCTCAAAGTTTTTACCTTTTCTCATTTTATTTCTGTTTGTTTGTGGAGAGTACGAAAATCTCCAAAGCAATTTCCCACCAGAAGGAAAAATCTGAAAATGTCCACTGATTGCCGTAGCTTGTTGCAACATGCTTGTGCCCCCTCCCCGTTCCTGTCTTTAGCTTCAGCTTCAGCTTTTTGGCTAACGGTTAATACAGTCCATCATTATCAGAAATGCGTTTGCACAGAGAGCTCCCAGCACCAGCACCAGCACCCGAGCCAGAGCCAGAGCCACAGCCACAGCCAGATCTCCTGTCCTGGCTCTAAGGTCACTTTGGAGACCAACCAAAAATTGTTGCCTACAAAAATCTCAAAAAAGACAAACAACAACAAAACAGTGAAGAAATTCTCACAAGGCGCTGGCTACACGCAGAGAAAATAAGTCAAGGAAATTCTTTACAACTATTTCGGGTGATATTTCCAGAGATATTCCCCGAAATGTGTTTGATCAGAACTTTCGTTCTCATGATTCTCTTAATTAGATTTTCTGCCAGTGCAGGTCTCAGTGAAGAGCGCCTGACTACATGAAACAGGTGTGGCACGTCGCAAAAAAAAAAAAAAGAGCCAAAACCCAAGAGGAGGAGTGGATGAGTCTGCCTCTGCAGCAGCATGCTGACTGGACCAAGACTCTGGCTATGCGAGTGTGTGTGTGTGTGTGTGTGTGCTTTTGGCCAGGTTAGAGTAGAGCCTCTCTGAGAGGTTGGCGACGCTTTTACCGCACGTTCGTTATTTTTGAGGTCACAATATGCTATGTGCTGCTGGCTGGCTGGCCTGATCATTGCTGGAAATCTGTGCGCAGTGCCCCTCGGACGCGGACTCAGACTGGGGCTGGGGCTGGGGCTGAGACTGTGTTTGTTTGTCGCCTCTAATGAAACACGCGACATGGCCAGAGCCCGAGCCCGAGCCAGAGCCAGCAGAGCGGGGACTCGTATGGGAGGCTCAACTTTGACCTGGGTCAGAGAGCAAGCTGTGGCTTGAAATTAAAAAAGATAACTCAGATGCGAAAACAATTGATAGTCACAGATATTGAGCTTTGACAGCATACAAAAACTATGATAGAAAAAGCCAGATAATACGAGTATTTTTTTTTTTTATATTATTTTCAAGTCAAGTCAATTAAGGTGCGAGTTTTCATAGCGAGAGAGAGAGAGGAGGATCTTTCTTTGAGCAGATATCCTACTCAGAGATCTTTAGAGTCCAGTTGTTATTTTTGGAGTCCAGTTTAACGAACTGTCTTTGAACTGAAGGCTCTGTCTCTGTCTCTGACTCGCTGCTCTGCCCTGCATGATCCTCTGGGGCATGATTGATGGATGGCCCGAGGGCATTGTGCATGGCTTTTTGAGCTAATTTATAACAACAATCGGGCGATTTGTATGCCGCCTGTCAATATGGAATCAAAAAAATGTATAAAAATCTTGAGCGATCCTTTTGTCTGACTGTCGAAAGATCAAAAAAATCGGTTTGATTGCAGTCGGGAGAGAAGCAGAAAGAGAGA